ATAATTAATCTCTAGGCGTGACTGAATTGGCAACTCAGTTGCTAATACTCACAAATATTCTTTGGCTCCCCTTGTGTCGAACTATAAATTTGGATTGAATACTCTACCCTCGAAAACTGTTGCGATCCCCTATACTTGTGGGTTATCAACAATCCCGACAGTTGTCGTGATGGGAGCTTCTCCTTCATTCGAAGGTGCTAGACATTTTTGGTGTAATGCACTTTTGAATGAATGTAGGAGCTTCCCTCACCGACGGTCGCAACATGTCAGAGAGGAAGAACCCTGACTGTTATCGTGGGTGTTGCTTCTCCTTCTTTCCCGTGCACTAGACATTTTGGTGTAACAGACTCGGGGATGAAGGGAGGAGCGACCATCACCGACAATCGAATATATCAGAGAGGGAGTGCCCTCCATATACACCACGTGAGCTGAGAGTTTTCAAGAAAAGACTTGACAAATTGATAGTCAACCCATGATGAATAATGATGATCTAATTTAGTTTTTGTAGTACATATATTGAATTTTAGAAGTTTAATCTTTGAATTATGAATGTACGAAATGTCTCACGATGATAGGATCCCTGAGTGCGACTACTGTGATGACGACTGGGGTTTGTGCGACAGGCCTCATCTGGAAGATGGTCGGCGCTTCAGTGTTAAGCTTGACGAGACCTTCGATGTTTATACGGTACGCAACAATGACAGGTATTTTTTCGTAATTAAGCATGACTTCTGCTTCTTCAACGTCTAATTCCCGCTTTATACAATTCGACTAGTGCATCCCCTGCCATGCAGAACGTTATGTCTTGGAGAAGCTGGATTTTGAAGATCATGAGAATATGGAGATAAAGAGAGTTCACCTCAGGACCAATCATGGTTATGCTTTTTGACGTAAAGCTATACAATGTGGTGACCTACTCCCATTTTGGTTACTCGAATTAGGCAGCACTATGAAAGGCGTATGGTTTTCAGGAGGGTATGCATGTCACCTTCAATCTTGGTGATCCTAAAGATGACATCCACGAAGATAATATCGACGAAGAGAATATCGACATTTGGGTCGATGTTGATACGCTTCCACTTCTACCTCTATGTGAGTTTCTCAAACATATTTATTAAGTAATTTATATTGTTTATTTAAAAAATAGTTGACAGCTTATTTCCATTGACAACTTATTTCCATTCTTCAAAAAAATGTACGAAAAGTAGTAGACAAAACATACTACACTGATGGCTCTAAACTAACTTACGAGGAGAAATATCATCTTGTATCATTTATTATTGATGTTGAGACTTTCAATAAGAATTGTAAAATTCCTCCACATTATGGTCAATACGTTCCACTAGTCCACGTGTTGAACTACGACAACATCCATGGAGATGACATGGTAAGATTTTTTTTACTATTATGACACCAGTGCATCTTTTGCATACATTCTTATAGTTAAAGTTAAACTACATTGCTTACATTATTATTATTATTATTATTATTATTATTATTATTATTATTATTATTATGCTTTTGAACAGAAAATCCTGAAGGATTGTGTGCCTCATCTGATGCATACGAAAGGTGACATTGATATTATGAGCTTACGACCAGGTCTGCCTACGGTTGTTCACTGTGGATCAAGCTTTTAAATAGCGGATATCGGACTGGTTGCGGATTAGGGTCCACGTAGCGGAATGCGGATAGCGGGTGATATTGCGGGTGCTATGTCCACATAGCCAATTTTAAAAAAAACACTCATAAATTTGAGATTGTTGTGTATTTTTCTAAGCCATTGACAAAAATATGGCACTTAATTTGATAAATCATCATTTATATAACAATATAAACTATAATTGAACAACATTTGGTCGTGCAAAACCAGGCAAGCAAGACACATTTACCAAAATAGATTACACAAAAGAACAACAAGGACTTATATAGCGGGCGATATTGCGGATAGCGAACAATATAGCGGTCTAACAAGTGATATTGCGCCCGCATCATGACAACACGCTATTTTCTAACGCAACCTTAAACAAAATAGCGGCAGGGTGACGCTACCGCTATTGCGGCCGCAATAGCGGAGGTCGCGGACGCTATTTAAAAGCTTGCTGTGGATACACAATTTCTAAAAGAGATGAAGACCTCACAATCAAAGGATGGAAAGAAGTTATGAATAGCCCCAGGGAGCTACTTGGAGGCAACATGGTGCGAAGCCCACGAATTAAAGACAGGGTAATCTCTATTCTCCATAATGGAGAGTCAGGGGCTATGTTGTTTTATGATATTTTACTTTAGAGAGGATAGCAGGTCCTAGCTAATACTCATGATCATGTGCTAAGAACAATTAACTAGGGTTGGTTAGATGACTATAATGGTGATGAGTATGACTTGTTATTATGATAACGGGTAGAAGTTGTTAGACGACTATGATAATAATGAGTATGACCTGTTATTATGAAAACTATGATGAGTTATTATTATGATGATGATGCTAAGTTGTTATATTATTATGAGCATGATGAGTTATTATATATACTTTCGATCTGCACCATGTTGCCTCCATTTGAATCTAATCCACGTTTATTTCACCCACTGATATATATAATAACTCATCATGCTCATAAAATCATATGATGAGATTACTGTATAAAATCTGTACAAATACATTGTCAATGCACAGGAGGAAAAAAACAGGAATCTCAAGTAGTAGCGTGGGGCCCAACCAGCGCTACTGATAGTTAGTTGTAGCAGTAGCGCCGGAATGACCAACGCTACTGCTATGTAGGGTAGTAGTAGCGCATGCCAACCCGCGCTACTGCTAGCCCAAGAACCAACGCTACTAGTAGGCTTTCTCCTAGTAGTGTCACAGGCACTCTCCGTGCCTGTGCTGTTGCTATGGAGCTCTCGACGGCGGCTCTCCGGTGGTGCGATGGATGCTCGCCAGCGACTGGCGGTGCTACGTGATCGAAGCAAAGGGGGCCTGGTTGGATGCGATGTGAGAGAAAGACGTGCGCACATTGACGTACCTAAGGGTTGGGAAGAATGAATCGGACGGGCGACGACCGAAATCAGTCGGTAGATTTGTGGCAGCCGCCTGTTCGATCAATTCCTTAAAGGGAAATGTTTCTACGTGGCGCATCGGCCGAAACTTTTGGTCGGTCCCGCGCGAGCCACACGGTCGAGGCCATCGTACGCCTCGCGTGACCCACCTGCCCCTGCCTTATCTTCTTCCTCCCAATCCTCTTCTTACTCGCTACCTTCGTCCTCCCGATCCCCTTCTTCCTCCTAAATTCTCTCTTAGCCGCATCCACGCATGGGGGTGGCCACGCCCCTCCTCTTCATCCTTCAGATCTCACTGCCAGCTAGCCCCAATCCCGCGCAGGTCCATACCTTCAATATCAGCGCCATGCCCACTTCTTTCCGCTGCCCGCGGCTGCAGGTTCCTTCCGCCCCGATGAGCTGGAGTTGAAAGCCGCCATGGATAAGCCATCCGAGAGCTGTTGGAACCGTCCACCGGTATGCTACCAGCATGGCGGCGCGCCCTCCTCTCCCTGCTGCTGCAACCATCTTCTTCCAAACGAAATTGAAAGCATTTTGCTCCTCCCCCGATGTTGCAACCGACGACCAAAAAATCTACAACCGTTCGATTCGAAAGATTCAACCAGCGGTATATAAAGCTTCAACAAGACACCATGCACTGAAAAAAGCTACAATCGTTCATATGAAAGCTTCAGCTATAGTTTGAAAAAGCTTCGACGGACCCCGTACAACTAAAAAAAAGCTTCAATAGTTCATGTGAAAGCTTCAACCCATATTTGAAAAAGCTTCAAACGGTGGAGTAGAGAAGTTTCAACCCACCACTATGAATGAAAAAAAAAATCTACAACCATCATTTTGGAAAGCTTCAACCGTTGAATTGAAAAGTTTCAACCGGTTTTATAAAAAGCTTCAACTAGCTTTATAGTAAGCTTCAACCCGCAAGCACACAACGAAAAAGTTGCAATCGTTGACATGAAAAGCTTCAACCCTACTTTTGAAAAGCTTTAACCTGGCGACAAAAAGCTAGAACTGGCACCTCACAGTTGATGTAATGGTGGCACTCCTTCGTCGGAGCTGCGACCTTCACCGGTAGGAGATGCATGTGATTTTTTGCTGCAATCGGCAGCGGGAAAAGCTACAACCAGTTCCACGTCTTGCTACTCCCGGCAAAACCCGACGAAGGTTGAAGCAAATTGTGGTCGCCGCCGTGACTGTCGACATAAATGGTTGTACCGATTCCTGTCATCGGTCGTAGCAAAAATGAACCATGGTTGAAGCAAAATATATCTGCACGTGGATGATGAAGGAAAAAGGAATGGTTGGGCGTGGCCATGGCGACATGGTTGCGGCTCGGAGCGGCGGCGGAGCTGCAACCTGAGCTTCACCTGTTGTTGCTGAGAGCTACCACCGCAGGTGCAACTATTTCATGGGTCAAGGCGGCGACGAGGACGGACGGCGAAGGTGGGGACCGGCGACGAGGATGGCCGGCGAGGATGGGGACCGGTGACGAGGACGGCCGGCGGAGGTGGGGACTGGCGACGAGGTCAGCCACCGGATGGGAGAGGATGCGCGAACCGAGTGGGAGATGTGATTCCAGCGAAAAGAAGAAAAAGCTGCGGGGCAAACTCTTTTTTTCCGCCAGATCCAATGGCCCACGCGGCTCAAATCCAATGGCCCTGACGCGATCGGCCGAACGGTTGGGCCGGTGCCCCGGCGCAGATTAGTGCCCTTTCTTAAACTACTGTTGGCCATTTTTACCGGTCTCGCCGGTCACGTGGGCCCGTGGTCGTCAAGCGGACGAGAGACGAAACCGGGATAAGCCTTGGGAGGATAAGAAAGACCATGATCCCTTCCATCTCCCCCCTTTCCCGTCACCACGCCGCGCGCGCCGCACACGTACGTACAGACCCACCACCCCCTCTCTTCTCCTCTCAGCCAGGCAGCCGCGTTCCCCGCATTGCATTGACATGGTCTCGTCTTGCCTCGCCTCGCCGGCCACTGCGCGCGGCGGCTCTGCTCTACGTCTGCAGCTTCAGCCGAGGGGGTGCCGCGTGACGTGCTTGGCCGACGCGGGGGGAGCCGGGAGCGGCGGCCGCGCCAAGGCCGTGGGAGGATTCGCGTGCGGCTTGCTCGCAGCCTGGGCCGTCGCGTCAGCCCCCAGCCCGGTCATCGCCGCTGGCCAGGTTGGTGGTTTCCTCCGTCTCCACCACGGGCATTGCGCGATTCCAATCGCCTTCGTATTTCTTACTTAATTAATTGAGAGGAAATTTGTAGAACCCAACGATCGCTAAGCGCTAGCATAAATAGACTCACGTCGCGTTAAGATTTGGTGGCAGATGAGGACAGGAGAAGTCGCAATTTTAGATGGAATTTTGGTCCCTATAAAATGACACCTCTTGTGACCTAAGCTTTTGCTCAAATTTGATATTGGGAAATGTATTGGGTTTCACTTTTTTGATTCGATCAAATATACTAGCCAGCTGGAAAATTACTTTCTAAATACTGGGTTTAATTCTCCATACAAATGCTACTCTTGAACAACTGCTGGAGATTAGCTAATGAATAGTGATAGTCTGAAGAAGGTACTGGTTTTGGAGAAAATAATAGTGGTTTAATTAACCTGAAGGTGAAGGCTTAAAATAATTTTTCAACATAGTGTATTTTAGAAGGAAGACATTGAATTAGCGAAACCATCAATCGGCGAGGGATTACATGGCACCAAGCAACATCGGCCGAAAGATACAAGGGAGCTGACTGATCTGCTTACAACACAACGCACACTACAAGAACACAAAGAAAAAAAAAACAGAGTGCACTGCTAGTAATGTCGAAGCCCGCTGCACTCTGTTACAAAAGAAGCACTCTGTTACAAAAGAACAGACAAGCAGAAGAAGCTTCAAGGATAAGCCTATAATCTGAAAGAATCATGAACAAACCTGATCCACTGGACTGGAGGCACCCAACACCTCCTTGTCTACTGTCGAAGAGGAACCCCATCCCTTTGCCTAGGATCGAAGGCGTCACACCATCGGATCGTAGAAGCGCTCAACT